TGAGAAGAATCGAAGAAAAAGTTGCTTAAAGGGACGCTTTTGAAAAATTCACAAAAAAAATATTTGGGTCATAATGTCAATTCATCATTCGCAAGCACACAAACTGAAGTATACAGATTTAAAGGATATTTTTCATTGAAATGGATACTTAAAGCTGTGACCAAAAATACATAGATACACAAAAAGCTTAAAGTGTGGGTAACGATGTGTAAATATAAAAGCGGAGATTACTGAACAGTGACAGCCACCTGACCAATGTTCATGCTGGTATTTAATACACTGCATGTCAACAATTTGATGTATAAGAGAATTTTTTATAAGTTATAGCTGACTGCTTGCGTAGTTCAATTTTAAATCGAATTTCCGAAGATAGTCATAGCAATGACCTCAAAAGGGTTTCCTTAACGGATAGAAATACATGATTATATTATGGTTTTGGATGTTTACATCTTAGTTCAAAGTTTTCATCCTTTTTATGACCATATTCTATGCAGACTTACTGAACCATTTTATTGCTTAATTCAATATTTTTGAAAATGATTTTCATCTAATAAAATCCAGCATGGACGAAACTTCCATTACTGATCCTGAATAATAAAAGTTTAATTATTTAACCGTAAAGAACTTTTTCTTCTTCTTCCTGTTCTCGCAATGGCTGCAGTTTTATAAAAATTTATTGAACCAGTTTTTTTTATAATTTTAAACTTTTAATTATAGAAACTTTCCGAAAGAATGGCTTGAACTTTTCGCCTTTTAAAGTTCTACTAATGATTAAAATAGCAACATAAACTATAGCAAATAAATATTTATGGACCAACTTAAGTTGTTGTAAATTAAATTTATTTCTTCCTGTTTATCCATAAATTTTCGATACTGAACATTGAGAGGGAAAAATGAGTGGATGGAAAAAAATTCTTCATTCATCGTTCCTATAATTCATGTAGAGTAGCTGAAATGGTCAATTTGGATGTGAACGAAAATAGCGCATTGCTGCATCATAAATTTCTGTAATTAATGAGAATTTTAAAGGTTTTTTGGCTGCATATTAAGCTAGTCCCGATCGGCACACATTGAAATGTTTGCGACCCTGGAGCCGGGTTGATAGTGTAATTAGAACTGGAAGTAAGTTTCAATTGGATTCCAGGTGGTTGTCATGTGGCTACCATTGCCAATTGGCAAACATGCCGAGAGGCAAATATTTCAATGAATTTCAATGTGTGCCGATCGGGAGTGCTTCTCGAGTTTTATGCTCATTGACACATTCCATCTTCGTCGAGAGCTTAGCTGTATAGTGACATGCCTAATTTTCGAAAAATACATTAATTTACTGCCTCGAAATGCTTCAGAACTCCCAAATTGAGCAAATTAAATCCAACCTTTAGGAAGAGAAGGTTTTATTGCACTCTTGGATGTCCTAAATTAGATTAAGTATCAAGTTTGGCTTTAAAACCAAGAAAATCTGAATTAAGACTCAAATTATTCAGTAAAGATCAGCCAGGAAATATGAAAATAATTTTTTAAAATGCATAAAAAAAGCTGCGCTAAAAGTCGAAAAATAAACAATTTTCATTCACCATTTATATTTAAATATTTATCTATAGACCATAGTGTAAAGTGCATTGGCAAAAGGAATAACAATAAAAAAGACAAGCGGCAAAATGAAGCAAAGAATGGGGAAATAAATGTATACAATAACACAGAACACAAAAAATATGGTTTTTCAATAAATCATTTAATAGCAAATAGCTATAAGCATTCAAAAGGCAGTGACTTTCGCCTTTTTTTTCTGCAGTCGCATAAATAAGAGAGAGAACGAGAGAAAAAACTCATTTCAATAAATTTTTTCCGAGTAATAATACAATACACAAAAAAAAAGAAGCATAAATAAATTTTCAATTTATTGGAAATGTTTTGCAGATTATATTTTTTTATGCATTTTAAGTGCACATAGCCGCCCCATCCTACCACTATACTACTGGCCCGCTTTTTCATTTAAATTCTTTGTGGATCCCAAAAACATCGTGCATTAATGAAAATAATTCTAGGATTATCAGATTGTTGAAGAGACACATTGGGTTGCTTGAGTCTGACATACATTTTAATCTCATCTAAAAAGATATGCGCTTTATGCATCAAACTACATTGACATTTTGTACTTGTCTTTTAAATCCACAATCATCAACGCTGTGATTATTATTTAATCTACCATCAACCCGTATGTGTATGATGATGCAATGTAGAAAAATTAATAAATAAATCGTGCAACTTCTCTCGATTTTCATTCATTCACATTATTTTAATAATTTTCCCATGAAGCTTTTCACCCGAATGAAATAAAAAAATAAAATAAATACACAAAAATACACCAACCAATGATGATGATGATGATGATGATAAAGATGGCTAACCGATGCCATTTTGTACTCTTGCAGACTGCAGAAATCTATATTAGTTCATTTTATACATACAAAAAGCGACTATTCTGTGGAAATAGTATAAATTTCCTCATTCTCTCACTTCCTTTGCCTCTCTCCTGCTTTATGGATTGCATATATAACATTATACAAAATGTGTATTTTAAATAAATATAACATGAATGATGATAAAATTCATTATATTGTAAATTATTCAAAATGCATTCATGAAAAGTGGAATAATATACATACAATATATTTTTATGTACATCCAGCAATAACATCAAAAAAAAAACAACAGAAGAATAGACGAATAGAGCTATAGTTTATAACAGTGTGATGACGACGCTAGTAGTGTTGTTACATACTTGCATTATTACTCTTTTTTTACAATTTTGTGTTGAAATTTTATGAATGACTGTAATCAAGCGATGGGAATCTTCTCTAAGTTGAAGCGGAAGGAACAATTTTTTTAAGAAGTTTATTTCGGGTTAATTTACAATGGCTTCATAGTGCAAAAGCATTTCATGTGACGAATGATAAATGTACAACAGTCTAGCCTTTGTATAGCTCAAGATTGTTTAAATCAGTGTTGTCCAAATTGTATTCCGCGGCACACTGGTGTGCCATAGAAACAAGGCGTGGAAACTATCCCAAATATCCCATTTATCCCATATATCCTAAAAATATTCAAAATAATTCCTGAGAATGTATGCATTAGAATTGAGATATTCCATCATTTCCTATAATTACACGTCCAATACACTTAGAACTCGTTGGGATATCTTTATTATCGTGCATAAATGCTCAGGAATTTTTTGAATATTTTTGGGATATATGGGATATACATATATGATATTTAGGATAGTTTCGAAGCCTTGCATAGAAACATTTTGGAAATGACCCGAGCCGTAAACTGTGTGCGACATTGGGCATGGCTTACCCCTGAGGAGTGCCGTGGCTCAAAAAAAGTTTGAACAACACTGCTTTAAATACTTACATTTACCTGATAACTTAGTGTTTGTTTCTTAGAGCATTCTCGACTGCTTGTTGGTATCCCGCAAAACTGATTCAAATTCAAAATAACCGTTGAATATTTCAACATAGTGTTTGGTCATCTTTTACTCAAACACAGCGATTTCTCATTTTTGCACTTGATTACAATTTCCATACTTCTGGAGCTTCCAAAACGCCCACTCCAGAAACAAACTTCAACGTTGCAAAATTTACGAATTAAAAAACATTTCATAAAGACTTAAAAATTGTTCCTTTTAATGCAATAAAGCTTAACACTTACAGTGAAAAGGCTTAGTAATTAGATACATTGTTTACTTTTGCTTTTGGATCCTCCACAACATCATAAGCCCACAAAAACTTGTTTGCAAATGTTTAATGTCACATAATTAAATTCAATAGCTATTTGTAAAAAAAAAGATAAAAATTCTCAAAATAATCAGCTTTTGTTGCTATTGAATTTCTATCATCATTTAAACCCACAAAAACTCATCGTAAAAACCAAATCAAATAGAGCGACAATAAATACAGCATAATCCAAAATGACAATGGTATTATAATTTCAAAGATTATAGGGAAATGTAATGTGCTTAATATTGCATTACACGACCGACTATGAATTTATTTTCATTACGTGAATTTTATATCTTTGTTTCCATCTAATTCACATGAAATTATTTACTTTGAATTAAATTTTATGAATCAAATGAAATTATACGTTTTTGAGTTTTTTGTGGCATTTTACCTATTTGGGGTCGTTCATAAATAATATTCAGTAAGATATTGGGCTTAAATGATGGTCTGAGAGTTGAATTAGCTTTTTCTAGCGTCCTTAAAATCGAGGTTCAATAGCTCAACTTAGTGTTAAAAAAAACATCACTTAAAAGTAGCTAGAGACTGTTGTCCTATAGAATCTTAGGGGTTTTGTACCCAAAAATCAAAATTTTGGAAAAAAAATCATTTTTGAACGACCATTTATGATTCACTTTTATGGGATATTTTATTAAGTATGTTGATGTATGTGTGTAGCTGAGTTTTAAGCATAATAGCCAAATCTACCATTCTCCATTCAAATTCTTGAAATAAAATGTGCAATTTGGAATTTATGACCACAAAAACTTTTCAACTAAGAAGTAGTATCAAATGAACCTTTCAAATGTGTGTACGTGGGAAGCTTAGGAAGCAATCGCCAGGAATTTCATGTATTTAGATCACTAAAACTTTAGTGTTAAAAAAATTTTTTCACTTCCTCCTCGAGCATGAAAAAAGATTCTGCTGACTTTTCAAAATTTCTAATTTTAAACTTTTTTTCCCCACACCTCACATGCTAGAAGCTATCTCATAATTCTCAGAGCAATATCTGCACTTGTCTCTCTGTTGGATATGAGCTTGAGAGAGAATGAAAATTCTTTATTGGAAAATTTAAGTCATAAATTCACTTATATTATTTCCATTCATCCATTTCAATTTCTTTTTTTACATCTTAACATTTTTATTCAATTTATCATCGCTCATGACTTTTTATATGTATTTTTTTTTCATCATCTTCTTCTTCCTCGTCTCTTATTGCAGCAAATATCAAACCGTTAACATTCGATGAAGTTTATAACCAGAGCAGTCCCACAAATTGCACCGTTTATATTGGTGGCGTTGGGGGTAGTTTGTCAGGTGAATTGACGGAAGAAATTTTACAGAAAAAATTTTCACCATTTGGCACGATTCAGGAAATTCGTGTATTTAAAGATAAAGGCTATGCATTTGTACGTTTTTCGACAAAGGAAGCGGCAACTCATGCCATTGTTGCTGTACATAATTCGGAAATTAATCAGCAGACAGTCAAATGCTCATGGGGCAAAGAATCGGGAGATCCAAACAATGTGCCAGCAATTGCTGCAAGTCAAGCATTATCACCAACAGGCTATCCATTTGGATATGGACAACAAGTTGCTGGATATTGGTATCCACCAACTGCACCGGCTACTGCTTACTCGACAACACCAGCTGCAGCTGCTCACTTACAGAGTCAATGGCAAGGTATGCAAAGTTATGCTTATGGACAATTTGCAGGATATCAACAAGCAGGCTACATGGGGTTAGTAATGTTTTTTTTTTATGATAATTATCCGGTCTCCCACACAGTATTCAGCATAATTAAATCGATGACTATTATCTCTTCCCACAATACTTTAGAATGGGAGCATCAATGCCAATTCCTGGCACAGCATGGGTTCCACCAACAGCACAATTAACGCCAGCAGGAACACAAAGTGTTAACGGTGGTTTACCACAAGCGATTGCAGCATATCCAACAATGCAACAGTTCCAAGTTAGCCCACAGGTAAATTCATTTCATCAGCGATAAGAAAATAATTTTTTTTTTGTATGCTATTTCCTATATCCTACAACTATTTCATTCATTTTATGCATAATTCAGTAATAAATTTAATTTCTTCCGCTCGGCAAAACATTTAGTTAACTGAAGAAGAATGGATTGCTGCTGCTGGTCCAGGTCTTTTGGTTTAAATTAATGTATTGTGTGCAATTCAACCTTATTCAATTCTCCCAAAAAAATAAATATATATAAGAACTAACTCTACACAGAGAGAATGAAAAGAAACTTTTTTTAGACGAAAAAAAGAAATTTATATAAAATTTTGCATATATGCAATTTGTATGCGAATATGTGCATAACTAACCAGCAACAGAAGAATGTGAGAATTTTTTTTATGTTTCATTCTATGCTGCTCCAAATGGCAAGTCAAATGAAAATTTATAAAAAAAAATATATAGCGAATTTTTTATGTTATTTTATATGAGAAGAATTTTTTTTGGGAATGCAGAAAAGTGCAAAAAAATGTGAAATTTAATTAAGAATTTTTCCGCATTTGGTGCGCGCTATGAAAATTGAAAGAAGTAAAAAAATTTATCATATTGCGAATAGACAAACGAAAAATGAGAAAAATGAAACTTTTTTTAAAAAATAAGGAGACATAAAATAATGTGAAATTGTGTATAAAAAAAATTAAAGGATATATTGATGCTTTATGACATTCCTTAGTTGAATCCATAAGTTTCTTTCCACATCCATGAATTCCATATGGCTGCAAAATTTATGTGAAGCTAGAATTGCATGCACTTTGAGCTTTTGATGAGAAACATTTTCATGTGGTTTTATGTAGACAATTTTTTAGTACAACGTAAATGCTCAAACTATGTATCCTGCAAGATCCAGACCAACACTCTATTTTGAACGCTATATAGCAATTGTATAATGGACATTTAAGTGCAAATAATAACTTTTAAAATTCTGTGTTGTGCGGGTAGACTCATGATATACTCCCAATTATAATATGGTATGTAGCTTATAGTATTATAGTTGATCCTATGAGCCACAACCTTCTTAATGTCCAAAAATATTTTTTGGAATTACCTTTTAATTCCAAAAGCAATTTTTGAAGCATTTTTTTAGCATTTTTAACAATTTTTGATACTTGAAATTATAAAATTGACCACATGAGAGTTTCATCCTTAAATCTCAAAAATCTATGTATCCTCTAGCTTCACATCTGCATCATCCTTGACTCATTATTATTTATATCCCATCCCTACCCCGCGAAGAATGAAGAAAGCAGCATAAAAAATTGTAATTGAATAGAATAGGAATTACAAACACAAAAAATAAAGAAATGAGGAAAGTCACACATACACACAAACAAAATCATTATAATGTACACAAATACAGTCACATTCATACCCATACACTTAGCTAGTAAACTGAAAATTTAATTTAACAAAAAATGAATATTTTATTTCATTTCGTGATGAAAATTAAGGAAAAAGAAAAATTGCATGCAAATAGTTTTTAAGACGAAGTGAAAAATGAAAAAAATTTGCATCACTTCCTTTCTCCATCCTGCACATATATGAATACAATCCTAAATTATCATGCATCCTATTCCCATTCCTCATGAAACACATTTTTCCTTGATCATCATGTGAAGCAAATTAAAGACGATATTTTTAGCAATTAAAAAAGGAGAAAGGAAGGAGTTATTATAATAAAAAGAAGCTTCTATGCTTTTATTATGGATATTGAAATGAGAATGTAAGAAGAAGAAAAATTATTTACTTATAGGAAATATTTTGCATATTATAAGGATGAAAAGGATTCTTTTGAGAAGGAAGTTGAAATTTTACACTAGAATTGGCAATCTGTAGGATTTTCCAGTAAGGTTTGAATATGAGAGGAAGATCCGAGCTGCACAAATCTTATTTTAGCATTGAAACATCAGCTTCGACGGTGCCCAGAAACCAAAAAGCTTCAAAAAAGGCACCATATTGATTAATGCTGTGCTGCTCGGTAAAATTTTATGCAAAAGGGACAAATTTTCTTCCTATTCTGTAATGAAAGCTTTGACCAAAAATCTTATTGAACTTTAATGGAGAATCATTATAGATTTTCAAGTCTCGGAAGGAGTTTCTATGCTACATCTCAGTTCCACACTCCGTTTCTAATGGAAACTCTACATCAAATAGAAAAAAATGTCTTCATGCTTGGAGAGAATTCTATTGCTAGAGTCATAAGCTTTACATTTTAATATATAAAGTAGCATAAAGCTTATGAAGCTAGAGAATATTAAGTGGATTATGAGTATAAAATAGAATCTCATTCTTCGATTATTTCATACAAACTAGTTACTATCATTTATTATGGTAGTTGAATGAAAAGAAGTTTGGATATTAAGCATAGAAAAAAATAAATAATAAAAGTGAGGATATCCTGGAATATAATCCATGGAAAAAAATGTGAAATAAAAAAAAACATAGAATTAGAACGAAAGTCCAATGAAATATATTAAAAAAATATTAAAAGAAGAAAAAAAACCTTAAAAAAATATTTTAAATAAAAGCAGTTTAAATCAGTAGATAGGAATATACATTAAAATTATACAAAATGAAAGAAATAAAGAAAAAATTAAATAAAAGTGAAAAAACAGAAAATTTGCAAGTAAAAATTGAGAAAATCAAAGCTTCCGAAAATATTTTAAAAATGAACACATAAAAACATACATAAAATGATGATGATGATGAAAAAAACCAAAAAACTTTTAGAGATATTAATGAATTAAATTCTAAAAAGTCTATATACATATTATTTGCTACAAGCAAAAAAATCAACGAATGATAAAAGAAAAAAATTTTACTCTTTTTCCCTAAACACACACAAAAAAAAAGTTTATAGAACAAAAATAAAAGTTAAATATGATAAAATGGAAAGACAAAGAGAATTTTTCAGGTTTTTATTTTTTATCTACGAATTCATTTATTGTTATTTTGTTTTTATAGTTATCGTAGTGATCCCTGCCCCCTTCATCTCTATTTCTACTTCTACTAGTCACCACCCAAAATGTAGTTTCTGTCATGAACTCTTCTATTTTTGACGCACAGTGTTGTTGACCTGGATATATCGATGCTTGTTTAAATCGCAGTTCATATTTCAACTTAGCAATATAGATATGCATTTAAGAGCATGTCTAGAGCAGATAGGGTTGAGCTTGAGGCTCGCAATGAATTTGTTTGTATGTGTATGATCGATAACAGAAGTAAGTTTAGTACCCCGGTAGCTGAATTGCAGAGATATCCAACTGAGTAGTCGGAGATCATTTCTATTAAGAACGCGAGTTCAAATCTTAACAATCTAGACTTGTTTGATATTAGTAAACACATACGGCTGTGATTGAAAGGTCTACAGACAATACTGCTGCAAGTTCTTAATTTTCCTAGACTAGCCGATACAAGAACTTAACCTAACAAAGTCTATATCTAGCTGCTCATACATTTATGTACAAGATAAACTTCAAGACCGAATCAAACCTAGTTTATATAGGCAATGACTATATTAAACTAACTTGAGTGTCGTTAAATCCAATTTTCTGGATTTTAAGGTCCAATGTTAGATGATGTCCACAACAATTCATCTGCATGACCAGATAAGCAACACTGATGATGCAATTTTGATTCAGTTCACCCCAACCTATTCCACATAGAAATATTTTGATTTATTATAAATTCATTTATGCAAAATTGCAGCTTTCCAGCTGAATATGACCCCATCCTCTTCTCTACTAACTCCCCCATTAATTTAAATTCCACTGTGGTGAAAATAAAATGCATAGACCAAAATATATTTGTAGTGCGATCATATAAAAAAATACAAATTAAATCATATATAAAGAATTATTTCTGGCAAAATCAAAATCAAAAACGGGACGAAAAAAAATTGTAGATGACACAAAAAAAAGTAAATAAGAACAAAAATAAATAAAATATTAAAAAATATTGTCCACTCACAATAAAATAATCAAAAAAAATATGAGAAGAAAAAAATTTTATTTCGTCAATTAATTAAGGTGGTCAAAACCGTGAGCAGTGAAAATATTGCAATTTTATTGAAAAAAAACACACATGATTGAAGTATAACAATGATATTAGTAAGGATAAGGAATAATAATAAAAAAATAGAAAATAATAAATAAAAAATACTAATTGATAATTGCGATGAGATAGATGAAGAAGGAAACATTTTTTAGGGATATAAGAGAGATCACATACATACACACATACAAATGTAAGAGATGAAAAAAAATTATAAATGAATCACATTTAAGAAGAAAAGAAAAAATAAAAAAAATGATGAAGAATTGGTAGATAGAATAGATAGAATAGATAGATTATACATTTTAAGGCATTATATATATATATATACATTTACAAATGATGAAAAGATGTGAAAAAAAAGATTTTCCCCCAAAAAAATGAGAAATTTTCAAATGATGAAAGAAGCTTCATTTTTCCAATATATATATATATATATAACAAGAAGAAAAAAACGATAAAAAGAAGACAATTGGATGAAAAACAATTTTTTAATGAGAAATTTTTAAAAAAAATGATTGATGAGAATTCTTTTTGCATGCTTTTCAAGGAACTTTATAAATCTGACTTTGTAAACAGAGAGTGATTTCGTCTCTTTCAACCGTGGAACACTCGTCTTTATTTTTTCACGTTGCGAACAACATTTTCTTTTTCCTTATCTTGAAAGCATTTTTTCTTTCAAGAAAAATTTCATGTTGATGACTTTTTGACAAAAAAGTTTTTCATTCTTTTGATAAAAACTTTCTCATTATTTTTATCTTTGAATGACAAATTAAAGAGAATTTTCAACGAAAAGGCATTCAATTTTTGACGAATGAGCAAGATTAAGAGATTTTTTTTGAGGTTTCTATTTTTGGCAAAATGTGAAAAGATTTTTCAGAGGGGCAATGAACTTTTTATCCTCGAAATTTCGATTAATATTCAAATATTCAGAGGGATAATGAACTTTTTCAGTTGTTTCCCCTCGAAATTTTCGTTAAATTTCAAATTTAAAATAATTCTGTTACAACTTCTTTTAATAATTTTCGTTAAAATTTGTTAAACTATGCTTTGTTAATTTATCATGAAATTTTCACCATTTTTTCATCAAATTATACTCGTTGACAACTTTATAGAGTAATTTAGTTGATATACTTATTATATTCATTTTGTATTTGAAAATCATGAGAAA